GCTCACTTCAGTTTCTCCTTTTGCCGCGGTTCGGCCCACCACACTACACCTACAAGTCGGCGAAGCCCGGGAGACCACTGAGGAGTTTAATCGGGAGGTGTTCTGGAGAAGACTCAGTGAGTGCCTTTCCTGTCGGTGATTCCCTTCTCTCACCTATTCCAGCGAAAAGGTCCCTTTCCTGCTGGCAGTCCCCATTGGAGGGCTCTGCGTCTCCCCTGCCTCATCCCGACTGTGGGGATACTTCACCTTGCTAGTCCTTGGCACTTGAGTGGTTAAAATATAAAATATTGATTTTTGGAGCTGTTTTTGAGTTGTCTAGGCTGATAAGCGTGGAGAGAGAACGCATTGTCGTCCAAGTCCCTGTCGCAGCTGCAGCTTTAGCCTTTTGGCACTAACTTTAGCACCTGCCTCCCCTTATTCCCACCCACCAGATGAGGCAGCTGTTAAAGTGTCATGGGAAGCCACCGCTCTGACTACAGTCTTCTCTCGACTTCCATTGCCGTCTCCACAGGTGAGCTTCACTTTACTGGAATCCTTGTGCGGACTTGTTATTCCTTAGGTATCCTCGCTATTTCTTTCCACCTTTTTCATTCATGTAATCTCAAATGAGACTACATTTCTTACTTTACAGGATTGTTGTGGAAACCAAATTGCCTAAATGCAGGGCCTGGCATGGGTAGACCAGTCTCCTAATTTTTGCAATTTGAAATTCAGCCTGGTTATTTACTTTCTGAAAAAAAATTAAAGTGCACACTGTTTTCTAGATAGTTTCACATACATGATCTCTGACAGATAAGTAGTCAGGGTCAGAGGCTCAGGTTAAGGTTAGTAAAAGTCGAAGTTGAATGTAAATAAGGTCTATCTGAATGCTAAGCTATACCTATTCTATTATACTACATAGGACCCTTTGGTAGTGAATTATTTTGTATATAATCAGTAACTTATGTAGAAAGTGTGAAATTCAAAAGCTAACAAAGTATGCTAAAATGTTTCTACCTACCCACCCTGTTCCTCATTTTTGTCATCTCTCTTCGCTTCCTTTTGTATTATTCTGTATACTGTATATTCTATGCATATGTATATTCATATTTACATGTATATGTGTGTATATATATATATATATATGCTTTTTACACAAATGATCAGATACCATCAACACTGTACTTTTTCATTTTTAAAAAATTAATAGTATAGCTTAGAAATTGATTCTTAGCATCACCTAAAAAGTTGTAATAGCTTCTTAATATTCAACAGAGGGCTTAACTATAATTTAGTCAATACCTTATGTGGACATTTAAACTGTTTCCAACTTGTAGCTATTGTAAATGGTCCTGTGGTTTAAGTCTATATCCAGATTTTTTTTAAATATTATTTTTTAGTTATAGGTGGACACAGTGTCTTTATTTTACTTTATGTGGTGGAGGATAGAACCCAGTGCCTCACACATGCCAGACGACCGCTCTACCTCTGAGCTACAATCCCCCAGCCCAAATCTATATCCGGATGTTTTGAAATGATATAAATATTCTTTTGCTGCATATGACTACAATGGTAAACCTTCTCCTTGGATACCTTAGAGGTCTATGATGAGGAAACAAGAGGTGAACCATGTGAGAGCACTTTAAAAGATTCATAGAAGGTGTATTTTTTCCAAAGGAAGTATTATCTTATTTTTAAATATTTGCTGGCTTCTTTCTTTGAAAAGAAAAACTTCCTGCTAAAATTTGTAGCAAGAAAAATACAGTGAGTAGATAGCATAGGATTATTTTTCTATATATGTTCAGGATGGTAGTTTTACTCATAGATGAAAAATTAGAACATAGTTTTATTGGAATTATATACAAAGATTCAGTTGCCTTCTTCGGACGTCAGCATTTTAGTCCTACTGCAGGGTGGTTTGTTTGTTTTTGTTTTTAAGATTCAAAAAATCTTTATGAACTGATATTTTTATAAAAATTTGTGCATTGCCATAATAGTTTCTGAACAGAGTAAGAATATAGCTCAGAGGTGGAGTTCTTGCCTAGTATATGCAAGGCTCTGTGTTGGATCCCCAGCATTGAAAAAATTTTAAAAAGTTTCTAAGCATTTATTCTCAATCCCTGGGGATGTCTCATCCCAAACAGGTAACAGTTTGTGGACTGGCACCAACCTGGATCACATTTTACATATAAGCACTGGTTTAGAATTTAACAGAGAAGTGAGGACAAGGAAGATAAGAAAACCAATGACTGCTTAGAAGGAAAATAGTTAATATTGAGCATTATTCAGTCCATGTTATTTACTTTTAGGTACATATTTTGATTCTGTTGAAAGAGACACATACATAGAGATTTGGTTAATGATCTGCTACAGGGGTTGGCAAACTTTTTCTGTAAAAGGCCAGATAGTGGTAAATATTTTAGGCTTTGAAGGCTAGCTAGTTAGTACTGCCCTTTTTGTGTGAATGCGGGTATAGACAATATGTACACTAATGACCATGGCTGGGTCCCAGTAATACTTTATTTATAATAAATGTAAATGGGTCTGGTTTACCTGTGGACTATAGTTTGACTACTCCTAAGTCTATGATATGGTGAATATCTCATGGCACATCATGAATATCTTGGGATATAGAGTTAACCAGGAACAAGTTTTACTTATTGTTTCTTTATGCCTTATTGAGTTGTCATCAAGTGTTTGGTGTTTCACTAACTTCTCTGTGGTATACAATGAGTCTTATCACAAGGCCTAACTCATAATAGGACTTCAGAAAATATTTAATGATGCTTTACAGATGTCTATTCTCTTTTACAGTAGGTGAGTTGACCAAATTGATCTAATCCATTTCCTTTCTTTATTTTTAAATTGGTTTGTCACATCATAGGAAACCCAGAGGAT